AATTTAGTAATTTATACAGGAGAAGGGGTTACTAGCCCCTTGCTCCGGGCATTTTAGTCGCTCTTACGACACGCATGGCTTACAGAGGGAAAAATTCTGTTCCACTTCCCCTGGAGATAAGAGAAATAAACAAGAACAAGAACTAGAAAGAAAATAGAAGAAAAAACCCCGAGGGGTATGTATATACAGTGGTCCCCCGTTGTTCGTAATTAATCCGTTTTCCCGGAGCGTTACTATAAAACGAAAAATTTACGATTTACGAATCAATTTTCCCCATAAGAAATAATGTAAATTTCAATTAATCCGTTTTCCTGACACCCAGGAAGTATTGAAAAAAAAAAAATTTTTTAAAATGAAAATATAATGTAGTACATAAAAAAATACAATGGGAAATGATGAATGAAACATTAACAGCATAGCACTTACCTTTATTGGGGATTCTTCTTAGTGTATGGGAGACTGGAGGAGGAGAGAGAGTGGATTGTTTATAGTTTGGAAGGGGAATCCCCCTTTCCCTCAACAAACCCCAGGTACCCTTTGCTTTTCTGGGGTTGCTTCTCTTCTCTGTTTCTTAATGCCTCTAGGACCACCTTGAGAGTCACTGGAGTCCTGTCTCACAAAATAAACTGTGGAGAGGCTCTGTTTCTGGCATTCTTTAACACTTCCCTAAAAAAGGGCCCAAGACTTTGTCATGTACATGTTGCCAACCTGGCTTGCAAAAAACCCTTTTTAGGGTGATCTTTCTCCATAAAGCTTTTCATCTTACCCCACATAGTAAAAATCTCTTTAATTTCTGAAAAAGGCACCTTCTTCCATCTCTCTTCCTCCTCCTCTGCAGCAAGATTCTGAGCTGCGTTTTGTTGCTCTTCCTGCGGAACTCTTGCAGTCCTCAGTGGTGAGCTCTTCATTGTGGTCTTCCACACAATTCTTCCACATCCTCAAACTCAATTCCCCAAACCCATGGAACTCCCCAGTTTCCATTTAAATTATTTTACAACAGAACATAGGTCATTAGGGTCAGTCCCAAATTCTTCAAAATCCCTCTTGTGACACAATCTGGCCACAGTTTTCTCCAGGCAGAGTTCAGAAATCTGGAAGTCACTCCCTCCAAGCCATACCCATAAGGGTTATGCAGTGGAGGATGCTGAAGTGGTCTCTCCAAAATTCCCTTAGGGTCAAGCGAAGTGTCTGTGATCACAGTCAAGCACCCGTGAAACATTGCTTTTGTGTAGGGGTTTTTTAAAGTTTGCAATAAACCTGCTGGGCCATGGATTGGAGGAGGGAGTGGTATTCGGGGGCAAGAACTTTACTGTGATTTAACCCAAAAATCCTCGAAAATTAGGTCATCCAAGTTTGGAGGATGAGCAGGTGCATTGTCCATTACTAGCAGGCACTTGAGATCCAATTTCTTTTCCAGGTGATACTCCTTCACACTAGGGCCAAACACTTCATTGAACCACTCGACGAAAATTTCCCTCATGACCCATGCCTTACTATTAGATTTCCAAAACCACCAGTTTACTCTTCATAACATTGTTTTTCCTGAAACACTCTGGGATTTTCAGAATGGTACACTAGTTATGGCTTCACTTTGAAAACCCCACTAGCATTAGCACAGAACATTAGCGTCAGCCTGTCTTTCACAGGCTTGTGTCCTGGCATTGCCTTTTCCTCTTGTGTAATTTAAGGTTTCCCCTTTGGCATTTTCTTCCAAAAGAGGCCTGTTTGTCACAATTGAACACTTGTTTTAGGTTTCAGTCCTTCAGCCTCTATGTACTCCTGGAATTATGCAACATATTTTTCAGCGCCTTGTGGTCCGAACTGGCAGCCTCACCATGCCTTACCACAATGTGTATGCCAGTACGGTTCTTAAATCTCTCAAACCAGCCTTTGCTGGCCTTAAATTCACTCACTTCACCACTATTGCAGGCAATTTCTTTACCAAATCTTCATGCAACTGCCTAGCCTTTTCACAAATAAACGAAGTCATAAGAGTACTCTCTGCTAATTGTTTCTCATTTATCCACACCAATAATAACTCTCAACCTCTTCCAGTACTGGTGATCTCATTTTTGTCAGCATAGTTACTCCCTTCGCAACAACAGCATCCTTTATTTCATTTTTTCTTGGCCACTATGGAACATAAGGTTGTGTAGGGTTTCTTATACATCCTGGACAGTTCGGCCACACTTGTACCACTTTCATATTGTTCATGATGGTTTTCTTAAATTCAATCGTATTTCTCACCTTCTTTACCACAGGCTTGGCACTAGGAGCTTTCTTTGGAGCCATGGTAGCTTATTTAGTACTTGCAAGCACTAAAATAAATGGAATATTATGAAATATTTCGCTGGAAACACGTGAGGGGACCTTCGCTCACTGGTAAACAATGCCAGACTGGCTGCCGCCCTGGCTTACGCCGTGGGTACGCGTCCCGGGACGAACTACGACTCGCGAGTCAACCTATGAAAAGCGAGTCCATGTTTATACGAAAAATACCCCTATGATTGGCGATTTTACGATTGCCGGGAACTACGAAAAGCGGGGGACCACTGCATATGCTTGTACATGTATGTGTAGTGTGACCTAAGTGTAAGTAGAAGTAGCAAGATGTACCTGAAATCTTGCATGTTCATGAGACAGAAAAAAAGACACCAGCAATCCTACCATCATGTAAAATAATTACAGGCTTTCGTTTTACACTCACTTGGCAGGATGGTAGTACCTTCCTGGGTGGTTGCTGTCTACCATCCTACTACCTAGGAACTACACACATGTCCTTATTAAACCTTACTGATAAATAATCTTGCCTGGTTCCTTAGTAGAATGCTGGAGATAATCACACTGTAACTTGGACCCTCTGGTGAAAAATGACAGAAAAAACCTCATGAATTTTTGACGAAGCTTGTTCCACATGCAGAATATCTCGCTAAAATTTGTCTCTGTTAATTGTACCTATCTTTTCCACTTGTTGGTCTCGTGCCATTGTTTTCAGAAAGGGGCTTCAGTATCACTTGTGCAGAACATTGACGAAGGAACTTTAAGAGTGGAGTGACCCACTATCCATGATTTAACCCAACAAGAAAGACTCCCAAAATTCAGCTTTGTTTAAACCTGTCACTTGATTACTGTGCTGTGCAGCACAAGTCCAAGTCACACAAAAATTGTTTCAACAACATTTAAACCATACCACGGGTGGGGACCATGGTATAGGACGGTCTGGAGTTTGAGACTCTCTGATCACGGGTTCAACCCCACCCATGGTATGGTTGTTTGCAATCGTGTCATTACGATTTTGTGAGTCAACAACTTTTATTTTACATGCTGCATTTTTCTCACGGAACAGGTGCAAGTAAAAATCTACGGCCCTTTCAACAGAACAGTTTATGGCAATGAGGTGTTGGTGACGATTGTTGACCTTTCCCGGTGGGTCATTGCTCAA